CAGCAGGAAATCACCGTATGAACTACAAGCGAAAGAGTTTGCCTACCATTCCTCAGGATCTCCGTCTACCAGCTCTTCTTGTTCATCTGCATCTTCTAAAAGAAGAGAGAAAAAGGAAAGTAAGTGTGCTGTTTACTATGATTGTCCTTCTCCATTGGCTGTTCGTAGTGTGTTAAGTACAAGTGTCATCTCTGAGTCATGTGTTACATACATTCTTGCACAAAGTTGATGAAGGAGAACCTTGCCAGAATGGTACCAGTCACTGTGAAAAAGACCCTCTCCCTATTTTCATGCTGTCAGCTGTGGTCTCTAGGCAGTGATGGTGCCAAAGCCTTTGATCCTGACTTCCTGGATGTTAAATAAGAGGGGGGAGGATAATATAAACTCTCTGGAACTCCACAGCCGTGGGTTATCTTGTAGCAACTTTACTTGAGTTTCTTCCCTTCACTGTGACGTTTTGGAACTGTTCGGTTTGCATTGCTTTGGATTTTGCCACATTCCACTAACAGCCCAACAGTGTTGTATCTTGGTGACCATGAGCAGAGCTTTGAGAATGTAACTTTTCTGTCTCTTGCTGCTGTCCACTGCATTGTCTGAAGCCCTGTAGTTTCAACGGCTTGACTGGGGAGGGCCAAGAGCACCATCCCTACCCCACAGTTGCCAGAATATACCCTACTGAATGGTCAAATATGAGGCATAAAGGACCCAGGCAGAGTAAATGAAAAAGAATAATTTATTACCCAAATATTGTAACAGCTAAGAACAGTTATTTAACAGGACAGATTAACGCAGGAGGCACTACAAACACACTGTGTAAATCTTTCCTGGGAAGAAGCCAGCTGAAAAACAATGAAGTTCCCTAACATGACTGTCTTGCTGGGCTTCTGTCACTGAGGGAATCATCTCCCACTGATAGCAGTCTCTCCAGCCCCGTAGCTAGCAACCTTTTGGTCAGGGGGCCAATGTTTTTCTCAGGGGGCCATGGGGGGGGGAGAGGTGCATGGGGCGAGCACTTTGCTGTCCCCTCCCCCTCAGCTCTGTGTGGCCTCTTCTTTACCCGGGCAGAATGGCCTGGTGCCTCCAGCCAGTGCCCCCTCCCGTTGTTGCTCCCATTCCCCCCTTCCACTGGGAGAAGCGCTTGGCACCCCCCCTGCAGCCTCTGCCACATCAGCTGGCCTTTTTCATGGGGGTGGCACAGCTACTGCTCCAAGCCACCGGGGACGTCCTGCCTCCCTCCCACCTTGCCCTGCCCGCGCTGGGCACAAATCGCCTCGCCATCTGGGTCGGAAGTCCCTGGCCCGCTGCTCACCTGCGCAGCCGCAGCACTGCCCAGTGAGAAGCACCGGGCCAAGCCTCGTCCCACCCAGCCCGGCCCAGCGGAGGTGGACCCAGGACCAAATGCCGCCACCCGCCCGCTCACTTGTCTGGGCTGCCGCTGGCTTCGCCTTGAGCCCAGTCGTCTAGAGCTGGGGGGGGGGGGAGAAGAAGGGATCGATCAGGGCTGTGGGGGCTGTGGGAGAGAGGTGGAGGTGAGGATTGGGGAGGGGGCCTGCAAAAACTGTGGGGGGGGAGCGGGCCCCATGGGCCCCATGTTAGCTACGGGCCTGAGCCTCTCTGCTGCCTGACTCCTGGGAGAGAACAACCTCTGCCGCCAGTGCAGGGGCTTCTATGCTCTGTCTCAAGGGTCTGCCTCCTCAGCATCGATTAGGCCATCATTTTCCCTCCATTTTCCCTGGTCCTGTCCTGAGGGTTTGAGAGGTGCCTTCGAAATGTATATGTGCAGGGAATTCTGCAGCAGGGCCTGAGGCCTGTGTGTGAGGCAAAGGCTTTTCTTTGAGGCCTGTAGGCCTCTCCTCAGCTTGTGACATAGGCTCATGGTGATCATGCTAAAGCAGTATTATCATCATTCCCTTATGTGAAGATAGGCTGGGAAAGAATGGGTCATCTAAGGTCATATAGCAAGTCTGTGGCAGATTTTAACTGGGAACTTCCTGACTCACCACAGCACTTTCCTCATAACCACTGCACTATGCTAGCTCCCAGAGCATTGGTTCATCTTGCGGTCGTGGGCGGCAGCTCTCCAGAAAAAGAGTCCCCCCCCCCAACAAGTGTTGCTTGAGAGCCATCATCTGGTGATGCCAGTAATTGAATCTGAGACGTTCTGCATACAGAGCAGGTATTGTATGGCTGAGTTAGTGCCCCTCTCTTGATTTGGGTACTAGCACTGTGTTAATCTGCGGATGACAAATTTTGCGTTCAGTAGCCCATAGCTCTTTGATGGACAAAGATCAGCCAAAGGGTATGCCAGACCTGTATATTGTTGAGGTTTACCAGTTTGTGTTTTTATACTTGTGCTAATTCCTGCTTGCAGTTTGGGGAGGAGGATCCACTTGAGGAGGAGATGGCTTACAGTGCTTGCATTTACTGCATCTGTCCTGGATTGAAGCATTGGTTGTGTCCTTTCACATAGTTTTGAAGCATCAGAACATCCATGATATTGTTCTGGATGACTGATCAGATATAGGCATGCCCTTAGGAAGTCCTTGGCGTTTAGTTAACTCTCCTGTATCAGATCATTTAATTTGTGGCAAGAGGTACACCTCAACAATGTTTTAGGTTCATTGTGGGTCTAGCACACAAGTGATTATATTAGGGAATTGCTTCTTTTTTAATCTTTTATTAAAGCATGACTATTTTGTATCTTTGACTGACTCAGCAGAAAAGTTTACCATCCATTACTGTTATGCAATTACATGAGTCCATAAGAATCTTAACCAAAGATAAGCAGGTTACAAATAAGGAGCCCCTTCTAAGAAGAAGCTCCCAGTCAGTTCAGCTTCCCATTTGCCATAGATTTTTAAAACCATCACTTAGATCAATAGGTAGCTGTCCCTTTTGATAAAGGTGCATACTCTTGGCTAGCTAATTATTTTAACTTCAAACACCATACGAAGTAGTCTATACTTGAATATATTTTTAAAATACATAAAAAACTGTTTATTCTTGCAAATTTTTATCCTAATAAAGTCTATTTAAATTTTTAATCAAGTCTATTTAAAAAGTTTCTCATACATATGAATATCTTTTGGCCCTCATTACTCCCCATCTTTGAACTATTTCTTTAGTTCTGTGAAGCTGAACATTCTTGCTATTCTTGAATGCTTCTGCACCTGAATCTCTACACATCGCTGTGGGCTAGACAGCTTCTAATCTACCATTGGGTTATTTCTTTGTTTCTTGTCCCTTTCCAGGACTATTCTGTTCTGGGTCTTTAAACTCCCTTTGATACATGTAGCTGAGAGGCTAGACCAGCTCTGTCTCTGGTGTGCAGAAACATCATCCTTCATATTTTTGGCCAAATCCAGCAACTGTTCACCTATTTTCCTGGCCATATACATTCATTGATTTTTTTAAAAACTTTGCCAAAATATGTATTACAGAGCTGGAATCTTTTACTGGGTCTTCTCATGTCTCTTTGCGAGAAGAAAACAAAACTGCTGCGGAATCAGACCACAGACTGTCACAGACAAAGAGTTCTGTCCCTAGCAATGGACTGTCTCACAGGGAACAAGCGCAGAATCCAGACTCTGACAACACTTTAGAAGAACTATCTGGTCACTCCTTAATGAGGTAAAGTGAACTACTACAGGACTTCAGTTGCTCATTACTAGCAAATTGTGGCTTTATACTGTAGTATTCTATTAATCTTTATATTGCTCTAGATACGAGGTGGTATCTTGATAATAGTAATGATTTATGACTCTTACATAGCTCTTAAGTACCTGTGGGTTTGTCAGAGCTTTTTGAGTGTAGCAGAACCAGGTAGGTTGGTTTACAGGCTAAGGGGTAGAAACTGATGTCAACAAAACAAGCTTGAACAGACATAGCAACATTATTTATTTGCATCATGCTGTGCTCGTTACCAGAAATCTGGCTGCTTTGGTATTTCAAAAGTCAGCAGTGCTCATAGGGCATCCTTAGGCCAAGGGCTGGTCTTGGATTGCCACAGAGTGTTGTACTGCAATAACGAGGTACAACCACTCTCAAGTCTTGATGATGTAGCTATAGGGTACATGTGTTTACAATACTTGTTTGCCAGATTCATTTAAAAAAATATATTTTGTGGAAAAAACCATAAAGGTGCATTCAGGCATAACTACTTGTTGAAGCCTACATTTTTATATGTATATCTAAAATATTTCAGTTAAAACATAATTTGTAAAGTGGCTTTTTGAAATCAAAGAGTTCTGAATTGTTGTAGAGCACATTTTACATGAAGTCATGAAGATATCACTAACGCTTTATTCTGTATACTGATGAAGAAAAAAATAGGACAAGGTGCAAGGACCAGAGAAGTTTTTGCTTGAGACCCCTTGACAAACGTGTTGTGATTTGAAAGGTCAAATAAACTGCTCTCCCTTAGAATCATAGTATCATAGAGTTGGAAGGGTCCTCCAGGGTCATCTAGTCCTACCCCCTGCACAATGCAGGAAATTCACAAATACCCTACCCCCACCCCGGTGACCCCTGCTCTGTGCTCAGAAGATGACAAAAAACCTCCAGAATCCCCGGAGAAAATGGCCTGGAGAAAATTGCTTCCTGACCCCAAAGTGGTGATCAGCATTTCCCTGGGTGTGTAAGAAAGGGCCACAAGAACTAAACACTGATGCAGCCCTTCCTGCCCTCCCTCTCATGATCTGCCTAAGCTTACACCTTGCACCTTGGTTCCCCCCCCACACCTTCTAGTATGACCTTGTTTTCTTCCTGATTGCTGTATACTGATGGTAATACACAGTGGTTTAAATAAGTGGTTCTTGGGTTAGCCCTGTTTGTCTAGTTAAATGACTGAAAGGGAGGGGGGGGGAATAAAACCACAAGAAAAATAAAGCCTTTATTCTTCTATTAGTCTCCCAGATAAGCTAAGATCTCCAAGGACTGCAAGCACTCCTCAGTCTCCAAGTGGACCGAAGCAATTGGATCCTGCCCCAGAAAAGACCAGATCTTCTTCAAGCCCTCCGACATCTATCGCTCCTGCATCCAAGCCAAATCTTGCCTTTTCTGGAACCAGCAGGACTGGAGCAGGTCTTGTGAATGGTGAGCTGACCCCAAATAACGAAACTGGACAGAACATTATGTTCTTAATGTGTATGAAAGCTTAATTTGAGCACATGATTATAGGTGCTTACCTCTGGAAGCAACTCTGTGGTTCAGTGGTGGTATCTGCTTTGTGGGAAGAACATCCCAGGTTCAACCCCTGGTTGTTCCAGGTAAAATATCTCATGTGGCAAGTGATGGGAAAGACCTTTCTTTGCCTGGGATCCCAGACAACACTTGCCAGTTAGAGCAGACTGTACAGAGCTAGATGAACCAGTGTCCTGACTTGGTTTATAAGGGAGCTTCTGATGTTAATATCATGTATTTGCTTGCAGGTGCCATGCGTTTCTCTCCTGCTGGTCTCCACCAACGTATGTCAGCAGAGCTAAACTACTTATGTACCATTGAGGAGTCAGTGCGGCAGCTGTCGGATATGGAGCGTGTACGGGGCATTTCACTTGCACAGCAGGAAAGTGTCTCACTGGCTCAAATACTAAAGGTAACTGACAAAGTTCTTTATTTTCATTAGTCTTTGCATTCTCTAAGCATCTTGGCCACACATTGGAATAGCTGCTGCTGGACTGAGAAATTTTTCTTTGAGTGCAAGTGAAATAATATTGGTGTATTCCCATTCAGTCCTCAAAAACTGTCAGGCTGACTTCCCACATAAGTGCTTTAAATAAATAAAATAATGTACTATAGTTTTTCTCTTGATTGTTTTAAATCATGACAATCCGTTTGCTGTGGTTGACAAGGAGATGACTCAGTACTTACTCATAAGCTGCTGCCTTTGTTCTAGCAAGGGATAATTTTGAGACCTACTGTTCCTTTTTAAAAAATAAACCAGTTAATGTCATTCTTCAGAAGTACCCATCAAGACAACCGGCTGGGGTAAGGGAGACTAGTGGGATGCAATTCCTGGGCCCTGCTCCACCTTGGGTATCTAAGGAGAAGGGCGAATCACATGATTTGATTTTGTGTGATGTTTGAGTTAGGTCTGGGTGACGTGAGGAAGGGGAGACCCAGAGGGAATCTCTGCCTTAGGGCCCCATGTTTTTTCTTGGCAGCTCTGATACTGGTATGACTAATTTAATTGCATGACAGCACAGATATTTCTGTATAATCAGAGCAGAAATTTTGGAATAGATGAAATATAAATATTAAAAGATGCTGATGCTGGAGACGTACTTGAGCATCTTTTAATGGTAGATCAGATTTGATGTCTGAAGTGTTAATTTCTTTGCTGTGCAGGCACAGCAGCAACGACACGAGCGGGACTTGGCTCTTCTGAAGCTCAAAGCAGAGCAAGAGGCTTTGGAAAGTCAGAGGCAATTGGAAGAAACACGGCAGAAAACAGCTCAGGTAATGCGACCTTTCGAACAGTGTGAAGAGGATGCAAGTGGAGCTCGAATGTTGTGGGGAAATCCATTAGAATGGACTGCCAGTGTTGGGGCATTTTATGTTTAGAGAACTGGAAACTATCGGCCAGTGCGTTAGAAGAAAAAAAAGGGAATGCAAGATCTTGACACTTGGAAGGGGATTGTCCCAGTGTTCTGAATGACTCTGATCAGGACTGATCCAGATACAGTCTTAAGAAACCTTAAGCATCTAGTTAGTTTTCTGTGTCGCATTGTTGATTTCCTGGCAAGAGGTACACCTCAACAATGTTTTTGGTTTGTTTCAGGTATAGTACATAAGTAAAAATTTTGCTAGAGAATCCTTGCTTCCATTTAATTTTTTAATTAAAATATAACTATTTACATCTTCAGCGTAAAATACTGTGGTACCACCCACTGATTTTACATACAGACTTTCAAAATCATTTTCCAGTTATAGCTTTCTGTCCCACCTAGTAGGGCTTACATCCTTAGCTATCTAATTATCTTACAGCTTCAAACAGCATACAGAGTTATCTGTACGTATGCATCTTCTAATATATATCTGTGTGTGTGTGTGTGTGTGTGTGTGTGTGTGTGTGTATATATGTGCCACGTTAGCACATTCTTGCTGCTTTTAATCATAAATGAGAATGTCAAAGAGTGATTACAGTTTTTCTCATACATGCTACTGTCAGACCCCCAACCAACTATATCTTTCAACTATATCTTCAGCCATATTTAGTTGGACATTTCTGCCATTCTCAGGTGCTTGTTGCACCTGGGCCCCAATACATATTTGCTGATATTAGTTATGCTGTTTCTAATCTACTATAGGCCATATTAGTCTCTTTTGTTCTTCACCTCCTTCTAGGCTGTTCTGGGTCTCTGGGCTCCCTTTTGGGCAAGTTTAGTGGACACAGACCAGGCCAACCCTGAGTCTGACTTACAGAAGCATCATCGATAATATTTTTAGTCAAAGCCAGCCGCAGCTTCCTTATATTTCTGGCTACAGTTGTGACACTGTGTGTAGATCCCCCCCCCAAAAAAAAGGGGGGGGGAGAAGAGATGTTATAACTGGAGATGGACATTCTAATGGTGTGGATTTTGAAGTGGCAGAATATAAAATTGGCTGTGATTGGGATATTTTATTCTTTATCCATGATGTCCCCCAGCGGTTTACTTGAGCTACTGGGATTTTTTTCCCCCTGTGCTTAAAATGTTTTCTTCTAGAAAGACTAAGCAACTTTTAAAAATATTGATGGAAGTATTTGTCTTTTATATATACTGCTGTAATTTAGTGTTCTTCTGTGTGTAAGCACCAATATTGGACAAGCTGGACTGATTAATTAATCACTCTTTCTAATGGCAAACATGGTCAGTAGGACAGCAGAATGGTACCATCTCATGAACAGTATAGGGTTAACTATATATCTGTGGGATGTCCCACATAAGTTTGTAAATTAAAAAAAACAAAAAACAAATGCCAAAAGTAACTGAGTGAGCACTGAGCATATGGATTTGGCCCCCAGGGTGCCTCAGAGGTTGAAGACAGCTGTGTAACAGTTAAAGGGGAGAAGGAAAATAAAGGGGGAGGGGAAATTTGCCTGCTTCTGCCCCAAAGAGCACATGGGGAGCAGGGAAGGAGGAAAACCAAAGGGTTAGGGTGATGTGCACTATGAAGTGCATTTCCCCAGTCCTAATTTCTCTGCACCTCAGACCACTTTCAGGTCAAAACAGTTGTGGCTGGGGATTTACAGTGTTTAGTTAGAATCAAAGGAAAAACACTTTGTCTGAACTTAATTGTGTACACTGTGCTAATTCCTACCCCTGACTTCTTATGCAATGAAGTGTCCTGAAGCGGGGATGAAATTAGGGCTGGGAATGTTTGCCATGCATTCCACAACCCCATATCCAGAGTCTGCCATATGCGTACAGTGCTCTCTTAGGCCCAGAGTTTAGCAGTGTTGCATTACAGCCATTGCCTTGATTGCTGAGGTTCAGGGCAATTTTGCCAGTCAGAGCTATTGTGCTGTAGGGCACGACTGCAGAGGATTGAGGCTCAGTGAACAGGAAGCCTTTCATTTAGCCTCAAAGCTAAGCAAAATTATACTATTTGCCAAGGAGGTATTTCCTAATTTTTAAGGAAAGATAACCCATACAATATTTTAAAACTATCCTGACTACATGAAATGTTGCTCCTGTTCTTTGCTTTGTCCCCCCAGTGATGGGGGTTAATTTGTTTGAGTGCTCTGCTATATTGGAACTTCTTTCCATGCAAAGGGTTGGACTTCCCCTTCAGGTTTCTCTGAGTCAGGTAGTTCTGCAACTTCAGTGAAAGCAAATAGTGTTTCAGAGATGTCTGGCTCTCCTTCTCTAGGCCCATGCAGAATCACTGCAGCAGCTGGTGCAGTCCCGGCAAGATGCAACGGAGGCGCTCCAGGAGACTACGTGTAAGATAGCAGCCCAGCAGGTGGAGGCAGCTCTTCTTACCACAGATGCTGCTCGGCAGCTCCGCGAGGTGAGAGTCAGATGTGAAGTCCTGGGCAGGGATGGCTGTGCGTCAAAATTGCTTTATCCTTAAGACCCACTGGCTTATGGCAACCAAATAGTTGATGTGGTTTGTTTTTGTAAATAGTGAGGAGCCTTCTACTTGCTCCTGCAGTATCTTTTTTGGGGGGAAAGTCTATTCCCTATTTGATGGGGACAATGGGGTGAGATGCTTTCCCATGTGGATTAAGGTGCTACTGTTTGATGTGCTAACTACTGATGTGTCTGGGTCATAGTGTGTCTGAAGTAGATAGTCAAGAACAGTATTATTCAGTCAACCTGAAGAGTATGGGCAGGCACACGCTTTCCGACAAAGAAGTTTTGTAGTACAAAAAGAGATCTCTTGCTGGGTCATTTTTCTGAGGCCAATCTAGAAGCATCACCTCCTACTGGACTCCTATGGTAAAAGCTTGGAGATGTAATACTTAAGGATCTTTGTTTTAAAGCAAAAATAAAATTTAATATTTGACCGCTGGCGTGTTAGTAGTAGAGGTCTTTCTGCAAATGGTACACGTTAGAGAAGGGTACAGTTTCTCAGTACTTCTGCGTTTTGAAATCAGGCTCTTAGAAGAATCTCTTACCCATGCTCATTTAGTGTTTATTAAAAGGTAAAAGGTAAAGGTTCCCTTGCTCGAAAGCCAGTTGACTCCTATGGTAAAAGCTTGGAGATGTAATACTTAAGGATCTTTGTTTTAAAGCAAAAATAAAATTTAATATTTGACCGCTGGCGTGTTAGTAGTAGAGGTCTTTCTGCAAACGGTACACGTTAGAGAAGGGTACAGTTTCTCAGTACTGCGTTTTGAAATCAGGCTCTTAGAAGAATCTCTTACCCATGCTCATTTAGTGTTTATTAGGGGTGTGCAAAAAAACCCAACCTGGTATTTTTCAGGTTCAGATATATTGAACCCGAAAATATCAATGTTGTCTGATATTCCCGAATCCCAATACCAGTAGGGTATTCGGATTCGTGAAATATTCAGGATTTCCGAGGAGGATTAGCTAGGTCAGCGGGAGCTGAGAGCTCCCACCACCCCGGCCAATCCTGGGCTGGCTTCTATTTGCCCAAGCTGCAAAGAGGAGCCAGCCCGAGTTGAGGCTTCTCCCCACAAGTTCTGCTGGAGTTTTGCTGGGCAGCCTGATTTAGACCGGACCAATGCTCCCTCTCAGCTGTGGAGTCTTGTGAGCAAAAATTCTACTTTGTGAGCTACTGGCATTAAAGTTGTGAGCGAGCCATTTGGCTACTGCATAAATTAGTTTGGTCTGGAGCCATCTTTCCTGAGCTAAGACAAAAATGTGTGAGCTGGAGGCTAAAAAACTGAGCTAGCTAACACTAACTCAGCTTAGAGGGAACACTGGACCGGACTGCTCAATAGAGTCCGTCCAAGTGCCAATCCTGTGGGGAGAGTTGTAAACCAGACTGCCCAACAGAGCCGCCCCCATCCTCTATTGTTTTCAGTGGAGGGGGGAGGCATTTAAACAGATCACGGTCCCTTTAAATGCTTTTTACAAGCTGCTAGTGCCCTTTAACTGTGGCTATCTGGTGGTCCTGAAAAATCCCAAATATTTTTGGGATTTTCAGGGCAACCATTTTCAAATAACCGAATCAGTGGCCCACCCGGTAACTGGCTGAGAAAATACGCGATAAACACCAAAAAGGTATTTATCAGGTATTTTTTCCGTCTTGGTTTATATTGAGTGCACACTGCTAGTGTTTATTCCAAGAATTTAATGCTTACCAATGCTTTAATGCTTAATGGCTCCCCATGCTCATGTAGCGTTATGTCAAGAATTTAATGCTTGAAAGAACATCATGATCATCTTGTGTAGTTGTCTCTTAAATGGCAATTAATGTTGGAGCAAGAGGGTTGTGTGTTATCACTAGGTAGAATTCAAGAGTGGATTTTTGGTGACTTCTCAAAGTCTGATTCATGAGAAGTAGTTTGATGTTTGTGAAATTTCTCTCTGTCCTCCTTTGTTCAGATGACAGAGCTAGCCCGTGCCCAGATCTCAGACGTAATCAGTGTTCCTGCAGCTCCGATTACCATGCTGTTGGACCAAGAACGGAAGCATCATTCATCATTCATAAAGAAACTAAAATCTCACTCTGATACAAGCAGGTATTTTATTGAGCAGTTAAGCTCCAGGGATAAAATATAGTGGTGTTTCTTAAATCCTCAAAAAAAAATCAATTAGATATTTTGTAAATAGTTGGTTTTTCTTAAGGTTGTCCTCTTGATGGATTGGTACTAGGCCTTGAGGAAGACGTCACCAGTCTCTCCTCCTCCTGCTGTTGACTGTGGAGGGAAACCATCTTTGCCTCTTGCTTGTCATGTTTTGCTTCAAGCAGCTACAGTTTGGAAAGCAATGCCTACTTCTCCCTACTAGTAGTATTGGAAAGGGCAAGAGTTTTCGATAGGGGCCCCTGCCTGGTGGAAGTCTCTTCTAGATGACATGAAGGCCCTGCGGGATCTTTCTGGATTCTGTAAGTCCTGTGAGACAGAGTTGTTCCACCAGGCTTTCTGTTGAGGATGGTCGAGGCCAGTTTCCTACCACCAATTAGCAGTGCCGCCTACTTTTAAAAAAAAGCAGTGCCGCCTACTTTTAACAGCAGTGATGTTGGTTGTTCTATTCTGATGCCTGAGCTGAGATGCCGTTTTATGGATTGTAATTTAATGCTTTGTAAGTATGTTCTATCTCTATTTATAGATGGATTTATTGAAAGTTGTGAGCTGCCCTGAGCCCTGTGACTCAGGTGGGGGGCTGGACATAAGTCTAAAAATTAACTTAAAAATAAATGGGAAACCTCATAGTGGGTTTGTGCCTTGTCAGATCAGTATCCTGTTGCCTGATCTATTTGGTAGGAAACTTCCCTCCCCCTTTCTCAAAGGAGGTCATGCAGCAATATGTGATGGGTCCTCTGGAGTGAGCAAGGGCCAGAAATCCTCTCCTTTGCCACTGGATCTGTGCTTGATGGGTAGTAGGCCAAGTTATGGCACCTGCAACTTCCTGCAAAATGCAGCTTACGATACATTTCTCATTCATTTATCTCACTTTAAGTGGCTTGTCCTTGAGGATTTAGTTTTTGGTGGAACTAAATCAATCAATTGGAGCAGCCTTTTGAGGTTTCCATCATTCAAGCTTGCTCATTTTTCTTTAATAGGAAAACAGAATCTGTTACCCCTTCGCCAGATAAAGAGGAGACGGGTGACTCAAAGCACCAGTACTCCCCTTCATTTGATAGTTGTTCAGAATCATCAAGATCAAAGGCACACGATCAGAGGTGAGGAGCTAGATTTAAAGTGTTGGTTACAAATGCAAGAAAGGAAGACTGTGGGGAATACTTGATGCAGGAAACATGGGTTAGCCTTTAAATTGCCCTTCCTTAGCTGGTTGAAATAATCTATCCGTTCATTGCGGTGGCTTCTGTGCAGTCCTACATGGGACTGTGCAGTCGCAGGCCAGCCACGGAAAAGATCTCCAAGCTTTCTAATAGATTAGGAGCACCCCTCCTCCCTCTGGCGCTTCCCCAACAAAACACTCACATGACCAGGAGGAGGGGCGCTACTCCCTCAGTTCTCTTTTTGCCACCGCGGAGAGAAGATCTCCACTGCTGTTCTCTGTTTTTTCCTCACCTCAGTTTTTAGACTTAGGAGACTTTTTTCTCTTAACAGTTTTTATTCTAGTGAATGATAGAATATATCTAAAGAAGAAATGTTTTGTGGATTTCCACTGTGTCATTATGACTAAAAATGGTGCTGTTAAACAGCCATTCTCTGTGCCTGGGCTGCCTAGGGGTTTACACAGCAGAGCTGCCTGCTCTTGCTGTCACCAGTTTCCCCTGAAAGCATGTATGGAAAGAGCTGGACTCTTCAAAGGCTTCCCCCTCCCTGGTGAGGTGGGGTGGAAAAGGAGCCTGGCCTCAACGGCCCTCTTCGGAAGCTTCACCTGTGTGCCAGCAGCCTGATGAAGACATATTACTCCCTCCCTGGTGAGGTGGGGTGGAAAAGGAGGCAGCACCCCTCTTGTTGAAGAGGGAAGCTTCCAGTGGTAGAATTTCAATGTTTCCTTTCACTGGGTTTCCTTTCACTGAGCTGCCGCTCAGTGTGCACAGAGATTAGTGTGGCCTATGTGAAGCTTCTATATTAATTTTTCCCTGCTACTTTGACATGCCTTTATCGATCCTTTTCAAAGCAACTTGCCTGAATCTCCCCCCCCCCAATTTTACTAAGATTGTCAACTCTGTTCAGCTTCCACTGCTGCGTTTCCTGGCATTTTTACAAATCTATATGTGACTGTTGTTTTGCTGTGTCGCTCACCCTTCGTGGGATGTCCAGACTTAGTTTTCTTTCCTTCTGAGACAGACCTAATATGCATGTGGTCTCAGCACAGTCCTTTCTCTCACAGCATTTCTTTTCTCTATGATCTTCTAGAAGTAGTGCCATCTCTGATGGCTCCTTCGCTATATGTGGGAACCTTTCCCAGTAACTCCTGGTGTTCTGCAATATTAATTGTCTTGACGTTACTTAACCTTGACATGATGGGCATATTTACTTTGTCTCTGGTTTTAGTGCAAACGCTCCACAGAGTCGAAGGAGGCACTGTAACCATGTTTTATGCCTTTTTTCTGCCTATATTGCTGCACAGATTGCTCTGCAGGCTACACAAGTTTTTTTTCTTGTGGCGCATTGTGTCCATTCTTTCTTTAGCCACATCACACTTCTTTTCACTACTTTTCATTATCATAGTGCAGATCTGCTTATTCTTACTCCTGCTGTTCAATTAGTACTTTGATCAGCTCCTTTCCTGCATTGTAGCAGTAGCCTCCCACTTTTCTGAGTGGCAAACACCACTCTTGCAGTATCGGACCTTGCACCTCTAAGTAGGGAGGAGAGTCTCTACAGAAGCTGCAGCAAGGTTTGGACCCTGCTTCTTGTGCTGTTGAATATGTTTTTGGCAACTGATTTGGACAAAAACTCTCTGATCTTTTCGTTGGATTACTAAGCATGCTACAAAAGAGGGGTAGAACCCCTCGTTTTATTTTTGGCACTTCCATGGTGCTTCATTTATAATAGGATTCTAACTTCTACCCTCACCATGCATGAAATTTCAAAAGGTGATGTCCTGCTGGAATCCCCTACCAAGGGTTGTCTCTCACACCTCATGTAATGCATGGCTAGTGTCCGCACACAACCCATCTTTGTGGGTTGTGCGACACTATCACACTGTTTTGAGTGCACGGCCCTTCATTACCACTCTGTGTATGATGGCTGTTTTCAAAGAGTGCTCTTTTTCCTTTGCCACATTCCTGCGTGTATTTCAGTGGGGACGCTTGCACAGTGGGGACGCTTACTGCTCTGGTATAAGATGATTCTGGGTGAAGGTCAATTTGTGCCGCTAAACAACTGTTGATAAAGTGGTCCTCTGTGGTCTCCTTCTGAGAGATTCATATCCACCTCCTTCACTCAGTGATCTTGCTAATCTTCCCATGTGGGACTGCACAGAAGCCATGACGATGAAAACAAGGTTGCACTTACCTGTAACTGTTGTTCATCAAGTGGTCTTCTGTGCAGGCACACATCCCTCCCTCCTGCCCCGCTGTGAACTCTCTGGAACTTTGGTTTTCCTAGGGGTCCCCAGCAGTGGCATGGAGAGAACTGAGGGAGTGGCGCCCCTCCTCCTGGTCATGTGAGCGTTTTGGCGGGAAAGCACCAGAGGGAGGAGGGGCGCTCCTAGTATATTAGAAAGCTAGGAAGTATTTTCCATGGCTGATCTGTGACTGCGCAGTCCCATGTGTGCCTGCACAGAAGATCACTCGATGAACAACTTTTACAGGTAAGTGCAACCTTGTTGTCTGTCTCTTATTTCCTTTCTTTATTTCATAACTATATTATCATCTTGCAAGTGAAACCCAGCTTTGGATATCTTTCATGACACTTTCTATGACTGTTAAAGGACAGATGAACTATGAAGTACAGAACTTGAAGGAACATGTTGGTGTATCTTTCCTACCACTCTGTTCAGATAAGAGGGAACACATTCCTTTGAAGTAAGGAGCTTTCTTTTGATGCAAGAGGCTCTTCCAGAGAGGGAATTCACTTTGCACTGATGGAACATGACACCTTTGCTGAGTGGAATGGAAGGATTCAGCCTAGTGACTATTTGCAGATTTCCGACCCCCTCAAATCAAGGGCTCAGTGCAATTCTTTCTTTTAAAAAACAGAACCAAGCCACAGATAAACAATAAGAAAGAGCAAATGCAAAGCTGTGTATAGACACTAAAGTAAACAGTTGCTCATGAATCTTGTCCAAATAGTGTAATATATGACAGTAACAATGCAATATGAATCAATGTAAAGTACAAAATACTATATAACAATAAAGCCCAAAACAAAGGTCCAAAGCAATAGATTGACGAAATTTCTGGATAAAGTATTCGTTTTGTGAGTCTTCTTCTGAATAGGACTGATGTATAACTTCAAACTGCAAGAATCATTTTTAACATTTGTAGAGTGAGGCTTTATACAGTTAACAAATCAGCAATCTTCAGAAAAAACAATTCTTATGAAAGTCTGCAGAGCATATCAAAGTACTAAGGTCAAGCCATCATATTCACCATATTTCAAAGAGAAGTAAGAATGTAGCCTTTGAAATATGGTGAACCTGATGGCTTGACCTTAGTGCTTTGAAATGCTCCACAGACTTTCATAAGAATTGTTTTTTCTGAAGATTGCTGATTTGTTCTATCATCATCATCAGTCCTATTCAGAAGACTCACAAAACAATTATTTCTTTAGCCATCTGCCTTGACTTGGGGGTTGCCGAACATCTGGCAGGTCACGCAGTATTGTAGCTGCCAAATCAAAGTTAGTGTAGGCCTACCATGTTCAGTTTGTCTAACATGTCCTGGATATTACGTCAGTTAAGCTACTGTGCCAATCTGACGGACACTCAGAACTTGAAATTAACTGCAGTTTTTCTTGGAGTCTTTGAGGGGAGAAAGAAAACAGCCCTCTGTTTGAGTAAAAATAGATGCACATTCTTTGACCACCATTCTAGGGCTTGCTTCAGTTATGTCTTTTACAATCCCAGTAATTCATCTGTGTCCTCCTGTTACATCTCTTTATGAAGCAGCAGCAGCAGCAGTCGCCAGGAAAGTCCATCTGTTCCATTTTCCAAGGAGTCAAAAAAAGCTTCCCGTCATGAAAAACCAAGCCGTTCCATCGAGGAAGAGGCTCTGACAGCTGTGAACGATTCCCTGCAGAGCAACAGCATTCCATCCATCCCGGACGAGAGAGGTGAGCACTCGGGTGAGTCCTGCGAAAGGACTGTTTGTGCTCTGCCCCTACCTTGATCAATGGTGGTTGTGGCCAGTCTTCCCTCTAGGCTGAGTGAGTGTGAGCTAGCTCACAGTTTTTTAGCCTCTGGCTCACACATTTTTGTCTTAGCTCAAAAAGGATGGCTCCAGAGTAAACTAATTTATGCAGTAGCCGAATCATTCGCTCACAACTTTAATGCCAGCGGCTCACAAAGTAGAATTTTTGCTCACAAGACTCCACGGCTTAGAGGGAGCATTAGTTGTGACTGGATCTTGCAGAAAACTTATAACAAGTGGTGAGATTTTTCTCTGGGTGCTTCATGTGTCCGTGCAGATGCAGGTAATCCCGATTACATCTTGGCAGCTTTTGAGCTGGAGTCTGATATCTGACACTGTGCCACTTGGATTGCCACACTGGACCCTGGCTGTGTGACATTGGCTAGTTCTCCCTTTCATTATTCTGGAAAGTGTTGTCTTTTCTTCTTTATAACAGTGACTTGATCTCTACGATGCTATAGAGTTCTTTTTTTAAAAAAATGGATATTATGCAATGCACCATCGATATATAAAAGTTATGTCTTCGTTTCCTTCTCTTTGTCACACTCAGGGTAGAGTGATGCAGATAGGTGCAGATTGGGTTCTCAGGAACTTCTGATAAGTTTTATGTAATAAAACCAGCCCCCCCCCACACCAACTTGGGGTCATGAAAGGGGTTTATCATTACCCTTATGGCTTTCCTTACTACAAGCCTTTTATTTTTCTCCTATACATTCAGCTATCATCTGTAAGGGAAAAGTGTTTCAATATGGGGACGAAACCTTCCTTCCACCTGTGCCTGTGGGTCTCTTGATCTCCACCGGAAGGGCATAGGCATGTTGTTGAGTCTTCTTGCAGACCTTGTCCCTCTCCATAATGAAGATGGGTATATGTTAGTTAACTGTGAGCAAAGAGTGACCTGCAAGGAATGAATCCATCCAAGTTGTGTATACAGCCGAAGTCCACTAATGGGGGGATGAAAACTGTGGGTAGGTGACTCGCTCTGGAATCTCTTACTCTGTGAGCTACTTGATCTTCTTCGTGGTCTCTGTGCTTCACACCAATGGGATCTAGTGCGCCTGCGCTGGATCTGCCGGTGCCTAGCAAGCTCTCTTAAAAGGATTTTCGTGCCTGGCCCAACTGAGCATGCCCAGGAGCCCCAGTGAGCATGCCCAGAAGGGCAGGCACGGACATCCCGCCAGTTCTTTCCTTTCCCCCGCGCTGAGCAGACCTTTCTTCGAGAGGTCTGGCCAGATCGCTGCTTTTGAGTCACTTTTTAGTGATCAGCTCTCGTTTTTTGCCTCAGTTTTTCTTCAGTTTCTTTTTCTTTCTCTGTTTTGACCCCCCCCCCAAAAAAGGAGACTTTTTGTTTTTGTCTTCTGAGGTAAAATTGCCTCAGGCCTTCGGGCCGCTGGCCCACCCCCACCCCCTCCTTGTCGCTGGCTTTTTCTCCTCAGTCTATG